TTACTTCACAAGATGTTAATTGATTGTGTGGATTACTTGTGGATTATTGTGATGTTTTTATAAAATGTTTGGACTCTCATTCTGGCGGCACCCGTTCACTGCAGAGAATCCATTGGTGGGCAACTGATGTAATGCTTAAAACACTTATCTACATCTTGGATGACCTGTGGGTGAATACATTTTCAGCAATTTTTCATTTCGGGTGGACTATTCTTGCAAGTTTTCCAGTTATTTCAAGGCAATTATTCTGATTCACACTACAACAATGAATGAGCAGAGAAGGGGTTCAGGCTTGGAAAAGACTCGCAAGAACTGGAATAGAAACAACAACTTTTAACGTTAATTGCCGTGAATCGAAGTTGAATAAGCTAGGCAAAAAATATTATGACACGGGAAACAATTTTGACCTCTTGCTAATGACCAAAGCGTCCAATTACGTGAGTGCGCAGGCATACAGAGAGCCTGGTAATGATCGGAATAAATCAGCGCTGACAGCAGCGTGGGCCAGAGAGCCCTCCAGTGCCACCTTTGACCCTATAAAGAGCCCAGTATTACAGGGGAAGTTATTTGGCAGTGCTCAGGCTATGTATCCATCAACCAAATAGGCAATAAGGCAGGTCTCTTATATTTGGAAAGGGGGAAAAAAGAACAAAAGAAAAAGCCGGGGTGTGAAATGAAAACCACCTGTTGGAGATTTTTTCGTTCTCTTTTCCACCGTGGCAGCGGGAGTATTTAAGTGTTTTTATTTTGGTACACCACATGATCAGCACCTACTATGGTTTTCTGCGCTGACAGGCAACACCTTGGTTCATGCTCATTTCACCAGAAGTAAAGTGAGAATGAAATGTGAATGTATGTGTCCAGGCGGACAAACACCTTTCTAACAGGTCTGAAACCATAACATCAACCCTTAACATCATGTATGACTGCCTGTTTGAGGGCCGAAGCTTACTACAGAAACCGTTTTTTGGTGTGTACACTACTGTTTAAAAATTTGGGGTCAATATATATTTTTTAAAAGGGTCATATGACGTTGCTAAAAAGAACATTATTTTGTGTATTTGGTGTAATGCAATGTGTTCATGCAGTTTAAGGTTAAAAAACACATTATTTTCCACATACTGTACATTATTGTTTCTTCTCTATGCCCCGCCTTTCTGAAACGTGTTGATTTTTACAAAGCTCATCGTTCTGAAAAGCGAGGCGTGCTGTGATTAGCCAGCTATCCAGTGCGTTGTGACTGGCCGAATACCTCAAGCGTGTGATGAAAATGTTACGCCCCTTACCATAATGTGATGCCGTATCCTGGCCGGAGCGATGAGACAAAAACAATAAAACCCATTACAAATGAGGCATTTGTTGCA